ATATGATCAGACAAAGAGAAAAAAAAAAAAAAAAAAAAGAAAAAGAAGAAGAAGAAAGCATAGAATTTCAGAATTCCCACAATAGAAAGAAAATGACTGCATTGTGCACCCAGGACAACCATGTGCTCATTTCTTGCACGTGCCATTTAGAAATAAATGCATTTTAAGATCTGAAACAATAACAACATGGGTATTAAAGTGTAATATGTGACTTATAATCATGACTAAATGAAAATTTCCACAAGTTTAAGAGAGACGGGGATAGATAACGCATAAAATTTGGATATGTAAGGGTTGCATCATAACAGCATAATTAAATATAGCAAGATCTATTGTTGAGGAGGGGAAGATAATACATAGAACTTACCTAGCTACCTACTTCTTTGCCTTGAAATTGTCGTTATGATTTTCAAGAACTCCATCAAGAAAGGCATTCTTTCATAAGTTCAATAATTGTGGAGGAAAACTTTATAAATCTAGGTTTATAATAGCTTCGAAACTTCATTGAATCTTCTTGATATAAAAATGGATACAATTCCTGCTCATTTTAAACAAGATTCGCTCCCTCAAAGAGTTAATCAAGATTAAAAAACAGTTCAATAAGTATAGAAATTCTATTCTGTTTGTTAATCCCTTCCCCTAGTCATTCCCAGTCAACAAGTTCAGAATTTTTCGAGTTATGCATGTCATTAATCATTTCTTTATATTTTTTTTCTGTATTAGATAATCAATTGATCATAATTTAATTACCTCATGATGATCTCCACTGGCTTCCTTTCTTCTAAGATCTATCTAGGGCATGAATCACCTTACAAATTACATAGTTTTTCATATAGTTTTACGAAAATTTTCTTAGATAACTATATAAGCTAAACAAATTCATGTATCCTATTAATAATTGAAGTTGCCTAAGAATGAAATAGAATCCACAACAATTTCTTGAAGAATCAACTCACCACAGACTGCCCAGATACTTGAGCGTATAAGGGCAGCTCTCGAGAGCGCGATCAAAATGGCTATGCACTTTATGCTTGCCCCTTCCACTCTGGTCCAAAAGTGTGAGCTCGAAGAGAGCCCTGACGTCGGTGCCCTCACTGGCTAGGGCAACGAAAACGGAGACATAGGTAGAATTGTCTTCCGGGTTTTTACCATCAGGATAGAAGTAGATAGCCCACTGGTAGCCGCCGACGGTGAAGCTCTCACTGGCTATGTGCTTACCGATGCCCATGCCCTTGGCCAAGGAGTAACCCTTGATAGTGAAACTGTGAGAGCCGTTGACGGTCTGAGTCACCGACTGGGAGCTTGTGGGGGAGCCGACTGGTGAAGGCATGGGTGCTGGAACGCTTGGGTAATTTCTCCGTGAAAATGATGGAAAATTTTGAGGGGAGAATGAAGGGATGAGGAAAATGGAATCTGTGTGCTCTTTTGAAGATATGAAATGTGTGCGGGGGTCGGTGGGACCTTTCTTGGACGGCAATGCAACGGTTTCTTCTTTGTACTTTCAAGTGTCTACTTTGTCTTTTCACTGTTTAGAATTAAAAAAAATAAAAATACTATTATATAATATTATAAGTTTATAATACAATATAATATTATATAATTAATTTTTTTATTTAAAAATATAATTATGGTATATATTTTACATATATTTATTTAATATAATGTTATATTTTATAAAATTAAAAT